CTCTCACCTCCTCTCCCACCCCTCATCTCTCACCTCCTCTCCCACCCTTCATCTCCCCACCTCCTCCCACCCCTCTTCTCACCTCCTCCCCCATCGCTCCCCATCCCTGCCCCTCGTGGCCCCCCATAGGCCCTGCCCAGCGCGCGCACCCACAACGCGGATGCGGATGGTAGCAGTGTCCTTCATGTTCTCGATCTGCACGGTCAGCTCGTACTCCCCAGAGTCGGAGCGGGCCGCCTGGCGCACGAAGAACACGGTGTCGAAGTCGCTGGTCCGCACGTGCACGCGGGAGGTGTCCAGCGGGGCCCCGCCCTTGGTCCACACCACCTGGGGCCGGGGCTTTCCCTGTGGGGAGAGGGCGGGGCGGGTCAGCGGGGCTCCACCCGCGCACAGGGGGGCTTGCGTAGGAGCCGACCCCCGCCCCGGCCCCGCTCCCCTGACCTGGAAGGGAACCACAAGGTTGAGGGGCTCTCCCACTTTGCGGACGTAGGTCTGGCGGAGGTGGCGGGGGAGCCGGATCTTGGGTGGCTCTGAGGACGCAAACACAGGGAGGGGACTCAACGGGGGGCCAGGGTATGTTCCGGGGGCCGACGGCGATGAGGCTGTCTGGGGTGGTGTCGCCGATGACACGGAAATGGCTGCCGGAACGACGCCAGCTGGGTCCTTCGGGGCGCAGGGTCAGGGGCCACGCACCCGCAATCTCCCTAATGGTGACCGGCTGGACCAGGGTGGCCGGCTCGCTGCGCCCCGCGATGTTGACCCCGACGACTCGGAAGAGGATTCTGGCTCCGGTCGGGAGATTCTTGACGGTGAAGCCACAGCGCTCCACGGGCTCAGTGTTGGCGGGGACCCACTCCTCGGCTGCAGAGAGACGCCCCGCTGGCTGGCGGATCTCACACTCTCCTCCCACCCTCCGCTCCCGTTTCTCCTGGGGACTTGCGCCCCACGCAGCGAGCCAGCACTGGGTAAGTTCCCAGCAGCGGCGAAGGCAGCTGGTTAGTTAAGCATTCATCGTGGCCAGGTTCTGAGGGTGGCACCTCTGTTCACTCATTAATTCTTACCTCAACCCTGTGCTATCCCCATGTTACTTCCCTAACATGTCAGCATGAGGGCCAGAGAGGTTAAAGAACTTTCAGCCAGGCGTGGTGTCACGCCTGTAATCCCAGCACTTTGGGAGGCTGAGGTGGGCAGATCACTTGAGTCCAGGAGTTCGAGACCAGCCTGGCCAAGATGGCAAAACCCTGTCTTTACTAAAAACACAAAAATTAGCCAGGCATGATGGCAGGCACCTGTAATCCCAGCTACTCGAGAGGCTGAGGCAGGGGAATTGCTTGAATCTGGGAGGCAGAGGTTGCAGTGAGCCAAGATGGCACCACTGAACTCCAGCCTGGGTGACAGAGTGAGACTCCACCTCAAAAAAAAAAAAAAAAAACTTTCCCTGGGCGCAATAGCCCATGCCTGTAATCCCAGCAATTTGGGAGGCCAAGGCAGGAGGATCCCTCAAGCCCAGGAGTTCAAGACCAGCCTGGACACACAGCTCAGGCTGGGTGGACTAGGATGTTAAACCCACGTCTGTCTGACTCCAGCACACTCTCAAGCTCTGCTCTCCTGCAAGGCTGGCACAGAGGAGCAGAGATCCTGGCACTGTCTGAGGCACAGTCGGAGGGGGTGTCCAGGAGGGCAGGCTGAGGGCAGGGTCAGAGCTCTTCAGATTGCCTGCTTTTTGTTACATGCTTTTCTGTCTTGGGTTTATGGCCATGGGTTGGGGAACTCAGGACTGTTGGCTCAGACCAGCAATCAACAGAGTGAACTCTAACAAGCTGGGTTCTGAAACATCAGGTTGGGAGTAGCCAGCCAGGGAAGGAATGGGGTAAAGGGCATGAAAGAGAGAAGGAGGAAGGAAGCTGATGAGGGTTGAACCATCCCTCCCTTCCATGCATTCTCGAGTGCACCATCACTGTACCCTGTCAAGATGGTAACTGTCTTCGCCATTGTTAGATGAAGATACTGAGGCTCAGAGACTTGCCCAAGGACACACAGCCAGACAGTGGAGGGGAAGGGTTGGAACGCGCATATGTCTGACTTTAAGGCCTGGGATGTTGTGTCGAGGTGATCACGTCCATCCTCCCAGAGAGATGGCTGTGTCTGAGACATCTCCATAGCCATGGAGCTGGGCCAGGCACGCAGTCAGGGTTCAGTGAATATTCAGTGGAGGATGAAGGGTGGATGTATGGAGGTACAGATGATGGATGGACAGGCAGAGAGACAATGTCTAGTTAGGTGGACAGATGGTTGGATGGCCATATAGGTAGAAAAAATGAAGGAAGCAAAGATGGTGGTGAAGAGACAGATATATGGATGAAAAAATGTTACTGAATGGATGGCTGGAAGATTCAAATGACTTTCAGATGGATAGAAGGATAGATGGCGGGATGACTGGGTAGACAAGTGCATGGCAGGCAGGAGAGAAGGAAGGGAGGGAGGACAGAGAAAGGGTAAAAGGGAGAAATAAAAGAGAAAAAGGGACTGGGCATGGCGGCTCACACTTGTAATCCCAGCACTTTGGGAAGCTAAGGTGGACAGATGGCTTGAGCCCAAGAGTTTGAGACCAGACTGGGCAACATTGTGAAACCCTGTCTCTACAAAAAATGAAAAAATTAGCCAGGCATGGTGGCACATGCCTATGGCCCCAGCTACTTGAGAAGCTGAGGTGGGAAGATCACTTGAGTTCAGGAGGTTGAGGCTGCAGTGAGCTATGATTGTGCCATTGCACTCCAGCCTGGATGATAGAGTGACACTCTCAAAAATTTAAAAAGAGAGAGAAAGGAAGGAAGGAAATAAGGATGGATGGATGAATGGATAGATGGACAGATGGACGAATAGAGGGATGGATGGATGGGTGGATGGACGGAAATATGGATGGGTGGGTGGGTGGATGAATGATGGACGGATGATGGATGGGTGGACAGATGGACAAATGGAGGGATAGATGGATAAAAATATGGATGGATGGATGGATGAATGGATGGATGGATGGATGGAAATATGGGTGGGTGGGTAGGTGGGTGGATGGATGGATGAATGGACAAACGGGTGGACAGATGGATGGACAGATGGATGGATGGGTGGATGTTAAGATGGATGAATGAAATATTGGTTAGATGGATAAATGAATAGAGGGAAGAAAGAAGGCATAGAGGTAAAAAATAAATGGGTGGATGGACGGATAGATGGAATGGACAGAAAGTCACTGCTGTATGGAGGATGGATGCAGAAAGAAAGAAGGGAGAGAAAACACACTAGTCACTGGGGGTCTCATCCCAGCGACTCATGACGGCACAGACACAAAACACGAGCAGGCTGCTGCACCCATCTCTCTTCATGCACGGTCCTGCTTTCAGGTCCCTGGACTGGATACCCCCAGGGGGATCTGTGCTGGACACCACCCCCACCAGGCCTGCCAGGGTCACTCACAGCCTTCCAGGCAGTACTCCACTAGGTACCCATCGATGCCGCCTGCCCCGATCCTGTTCGGAGGCCTCCACTTGAGTGTGGTGGTGGTGTCTGTCACATCCTCCACCACCAGGTGCAGGGGTTCACTCGTGGGTGCTGGAAGCATCCAGAAAAAGAGGATATGATGGGGAATGAGGAGTCAGGGGTCAGCAGGAAGGGGCACGGGTCAGAGTTAGAATGGTTGGTCAGAAGGCCAGGGTGTAGGGTCAGAGATTGATGACAGGCAGAAGATGGGTCAGAGGTGGACGGGGGTTGATGGATCAGAGTGCAGGGAACATTACCAATAGGCATAAAAGGCTTGGTGTTCATGCTGGGCTGGGAGACACCTATGGCATTGACAGCGAAGACACGCATCTCGTAGAGGACGCCCTCGATCATCTTGGTGGACTCATACGTGGTCTCCGTGAAGACCTCAAAGTTCAGCTTCATCCAGCGCTGAGAGCCCTTCTTCTTCCGCTCCAGGAGGTACCCTGGAGGCTCCAAGCAGAGAGGAGATGAGGGGACGGGAGGGCATGGGGCACAGGTCAGCTGGGGGAGTGACGGTCACATCCAGAGGACTGCATGACCCAGGGCGGTCTGAGGCCATGAATCTTAGGTGGATCTCAGGGGCCACAGAGCATCTGGAGGCCACCAGTCCTGGAGTCAGGAATCAAGAGGGGTCATGGCTCATGAACCAGGGGGTCAGGAGTCATAGGAACACCCAGGCTATGGGTCAAAGTGAGAATTCCCAGGTCACCGGTGAGTAAAGGAAGGGGGAAGACCAAAGGGATTGTGAGATGGCAAAATGAAAAATCAGGGGTCAGAGGTCGGTCACTGAGGATGCCAAGGGCTCTGGGAGGTCAAGGAGAAGGCGGAGGCTGGCACAGTGGCTCACGCCTGTAATCCCAGCACTTTGGAAGGCTGAGGTGGGCAGATCATTTGAGTTCAGGAGTTCAAAACCAGCCTGGCCAACATGGTGAAACCCCACCTCTACTACAAACACAAAAATTAACCGGGCATAGTTGTGGGTGCCTGTAATCCCAGTTACTTGGGAGGCTGAGGTAGGAGAATCACTTGTACCCAGGAGGCAGAGGTTGCAGTGAGCCAGGATCAAGCTACTGCACTCCAGCCTGGGTGATAGAATGAGACTCTGTCTCCAAAAAAAAAAGAGAGAAAGCAGAAGGAGGGGTCAGAGGTCATGAGGACAGAGGCACTCACCGGTGACCGGCTGCCCCCCATCATACTTGGGTGGCTCCCAGACAAGGATGGCCCAATCCTCTCCAACCGAGGTGACGCGCACGGCCTCCGGGGGGTCTGGGACATCTGCAGGGGGCAGGAGAGTCAGGCGGCCCCTCAGGGCCTCAGAGAGCCACCCCTCGGCCAGACCACCTTGGCTGTCTCTACTCACCCACCACCCGCAGGAAGATGGAGGCCACGTCCTCGCCGACAGGGTTGGTGACCTTGATGGTATAGCGGCCCTCATCCGCCCGCTCTGCACTCTCGATCACAAAGCTGCTGCATTCCACTCGCTTCTCCACGCGGACCCTGCCCTCGGTGGACGTGAATACCTGGACACAGCCACCAGATGGCCTTGCAGCCCATCGTGTCCCCAAGCAAACCCAGGCCTGCTTCTGCCACTGCCCTGCTCAGAATCCTCCCATGGTTCCCCATCGACACACACGGTCCTCACCCGCTCCGCTGCCCTCCTCACCCTCCAAATGCCATCCTTCATTAAAAACACCAGACTGTCTTGTCCCAGAGATTTTGCAAGGCTGGTCCCTGTACATGCAACACTAGGCTCTTACTCATCCTTCAGGACACACTTGGAAGACACCTCTTCCAGGAAGCCTTCCTGGATGCCCTCAGCTGGAAGTGCTGGCTCCAACCCCTGGGTTCTCATAGCTTCTAGAACCTCCCTTTATCTCAGCCAGAGCACTCTGGACCATGGCTGCTTGGGCAGGTGTTTGCCTCTCCACAAGAGTGAAGGCTCCTGAGCAGGGCGCGGTGGCTTATGCCCGTAATCCCAGCACTTTGGGAGGCTGAGGCAGGAGGATCGCTCAAGCACAGGAGTTCAAGGCCAGTGTGGGCAACAGGTGAGACCCTGTCTCAAATTTTAAAATAAATAAATACATTTTAAATAAAATGAAGGTTCTTGGAGGGCAGGAGCTGCATCTAACTAACTTATGGCTGCATCCTCAGTACCTGGTGCAAAGGAAGCTTTCAGGGATGCTTGCTGAGTGGGTGAGTGGATGAATGTGGAGCCAAATCTGTCCATTTGACAGAAGAGAAAACTGAAGCACAGGGAGACATGAAAAATCGAGCTGTCCCAGGGCCTGGGACATGCAAGGTTAAAATACTTGTTGGATGGATGGATATAGGAATCTACAGATACGGCTGGGCATGTTGGCTCATGCCTGTAATCCCAGCACTTTGGGAGGCCAAGGTGGGAGGATCGCTTGAGCTCAGGAGACCAGCTTGGGCAGCATGGTGAAACTGTCTCTACAAAAATACAAAAACTTAGCCAGGCATGCTGGAGCACTCCTGTGATCCCAGCTACTCCAGAGGCTGAGGTGCGAGGATCGCTGGAGTCTGGGAGGCGGAGGTTGCAGAGCTAAGACCATGCCACTGCACCTCAGCCTGGGTGACAGAGCACAACTGCCCCCTCAAAAAATTAGATAGATAGACAGATAGATAGAGAGACAGACAGACAGACAGATAGACAGACACAGATAGATAGCCGGGCGCAGTGGCTCACGCCTGTAATCCTAGCACTTTGGGAGGTCCAGGTGGGTGGAACACGAGGTCAGGAGTTCAAGACCAGCCTGGCCAAGATGGTGAAATCCCACTGCTACTAAAACTACAAAACTTAGCCAGGCACAGTGGCAGGCGCCTGTAATCCCAGCTACTTGGGAGGCTGAAGGGGGAGTCATTCCTTGAACCCTGGTGGCAGGGGTCACAGTAAGCCGAGATCATGCCATTGCACTCCAGCCTGGGTAACAGAGTGAGGCTCCATCTCTCTCTCCCTCTCTCTCTTTCTCTCTTCCCCTCTCTCTCTCTCTCTCTATATATATATATGTATGTATGTGTGTGTGTGTGTATACATATATAAAATTTAAAAAACAAAAAAATCTAATAAAAAATATAGATAGATAAATGGGTAGATATGTTGTTTCTGGATGAAAAAATGGACAAACGGATTAATTACTGGATGAGTGGATGGCTGGGTGGATTAACCAATTAGTTGATGAAAAATCATCAGTGGATGGGCAGATGAGTTACTGGATGGCTGGAAGGCTAAACTGGTCGATCCCCTGATTAATTAACTGAAAGGAAGGCTGAATAGATGGAGCGTCCACCATGTGCTAGGCCCGTACCTGTGACGGACAAACATAATATCCAATCTTCAAAACAACCCTGTGAAGGACGAGTCATCACTCTCATTTTATAGAGGATGAAACTGAGGCTCAGGGGGAAAGAAGCAACTTCCCTAAAGGGAAAGGAAGTCAGGACAGAGGGGAGGCCCTGACCCACCTCATCTCCCTTCAGCCAGGTGGCAACGGGAGGGGGCTCCCCTGTGATGGCCACGTCCAGCCTCAGCTTGTTTCCAGCCACAACCACAATCGAATTATCTGAGGTCTTCCCCGAGCAGTCCAAGTGGATCTTTGGTGGCTCTGGTGGCACAGAAGAGATATAGGGACCCTGGGGGTGGGTGGCCAGTCCCGACGAGAGGATCTCCGAGAAGATAGGTTCCAACAGTGACAGAGACCTGGGGGTCCAGGCCCCCAACCGCTCCTCCCTGAAGACCCCAGTGCCTCCGTCTCTGCTGACTGCCCCGTCTATCTGCCCCCCTCACCCCTCCTCCCTCGGCCCCGCCCCTCCTCCCTCACCCCACCCCTCCTTCCTCACCCTGCCCCCTCTCCCTCGGCCCCTCCCTTCCTCCCTGGGCAGCTCCCAGAGCAGTCCCTGGTGCTCACCTTGCTTGGGAACGTACTCCACCTTGATTTCTGGAAGACAAAGAAGACTGGACAGTTAGGTCTAAACCCAGCAGGCCCCTCGCCCTGCCTTCACAGCCCAGGGGAAGAGGCGAGGGTCTGGCAGTCTCCCTGGGAACTGGGGTGCTGGGGTCAGGTTCAGGCCCAGGAGCCACCTCTCATCCCAGGCTCCCAGGTGGCAGGCGGTGGGGAGTTCAGCGCTCTCCCTCCATCTTCTGACTCCAGCCATGAGTGGGACAGACACCTGCTGTCGTCCTCATTCGCACTCAGGGAACCTTAATCCTGGAGGGGGACATCCTGGGCCCTGGGTCTGGGAGGATGGGTCGTAGAGCCCCCGGGGAAGGAGGAAGGGCATCCTGACCCAGGAAGTTGAGCTTGGCCGAGAGTGACAGGGCGTAGCCGTCGGGCACAAACATGTAGTCTCCCTCATCCTCCGGGCGCACGTCATCGATCACCAGCTTGTGGAACCTAATGAGTAGGGGAGCAGGGTAGAGCTGGGGCCAGATTGCCCTGGGAACCACCATGGGGCTGCACCCCCGCATCGGCTTCCCTCAGTGCAATTCACATGCTTGCATTCTTATCCAGGGCTTTGGAGTGGTGTGGCCTAAGTTCAAATTGGTAGCTGTGTGACCTTGGGCAAGTTACTTAACCTCTCTGTGCCTCTGTTTCTTCATTTATAAAATAGGGGTAATGATGCCAATCTACATCAAGGTTGTTGTAAAGCATGGAGAAGGGTACAGTGGCTCACATCTGTAATCCCAGCACTTTGGGAGGCTGAGCATTGAGAATCGCTTGAGCCCAGGAGTTGCAGATCACCCAGGACAACACGGGGAGACCCTGTCTCTATAATAAATAAATAAATAGGTAGATGCAGTTCTTTCACTGGGCATGGTGGCTCACGCCTGTAATCTCAGCATCTGGGGAGGCTGGATGATGAGTTGCTCATCACCCAGAACAAGGCTGCAGTGAGCCGTGACTGCACTCCAGGCTGGGTGATAGATTGAGACCCTGTCTCAAAATAAAAAGGCATCTAAAGAAGTACCTTGCACATAGTAGGTGCCCTATAAGTGTCAGGACGTGTTATCACTATGTGTGTGTTGGGGTGGGGGGGTTGGTTTTTTTTTTTTTGGAGATGGAGTCTCACTCTGCCACCTAGGCCAGAGTGCAGTGGCACAATCTTGGCTCACTGCAACCTCTGCCTCCTGGGTTCAAGCGATTCTCCCGCCCCAGCTTCCCGAGTATCTGGGACTATAGGCATGCTCCACCACACCCAGATAATTTTTGATTTTTAGTAGAGACAGCGTTTCACCATGTTGGCCAGTCAGGCTGCTCTCGAACTCCTGACCTCAAGTGATCCACCCACCTCGTCCTCCCAAAGTGCTGGGATTACAGGCGTGAGCCGCCGCACCCAGCCGTTATCATTATTGAGACCACCAGCCAGTACGGTTCCCCACACAGTACACAGTGGGAACCCTACATCCCACTAAGAGCTACTGCCAGGAAGCCCGGGATGGCACGATGCTTTCCAGGCATCATGGCGGATCTCTGCATGCTGCAGATAACGAGGTGTTTGTCTTAGGTGTCCACATGCCGCCTGCTGAATTCCAGCTTCTTATTTTCTGAGCTAGAACCATGCTGACTGTGCAAATATTGCCAGAGGCTTTCCCCTGCCCGTGCCCATATCCTTGCAATGCAACCTTGCAGCATCCCCATCAAGTGCTGGAATCTGTTGACACAGAGCTGGCCTCTGACTTTCTTTGCCCAATAGAAAATGGCGGAAGTGCCAGGCATGCTGGCACACACCTATCATCCCAGCACTTTGGGAGGCCAAGGCGGGCAGATCACAAGGTGAGCAGATCACAAGGTCAGGAGTTTGAGACCAGCCTGACCAACATGGTGAAACCCCATCTCTACTAAAAATACAAAAATTAGCTAGGCGTGGTGGCACGTGCCTGTAACCGCAGCTTCTCAGGAGGCTGAGGCAGGAGAATTGGTTGAATCCTGGAGGTGGAGGTTGCAGTGAGCCGAGATCACACCATTGCACTCCAGCCTGGGCAACAGAGCGAGACTCCGTCTCAAAAAGAAAAACAAGAAAATTTTTTTTAATTTTTTTTCTTCCTTTCAAAAAATAAATAAATAAATAAATGTATATAAATCCTGAAAAAAAAAAAAAAAGAATATGGCGGAAGTGGCATTGGGCTCATTTGCAGCCTGGGCCACAGAGGTCTTGTCTGCTTCCATGCTCTCTCAGGACCTTTGCCTCTGCCTCATGAACGTGCTAGGCTCAGCCCACTGGAGGAGGAGGAGGAGGTGCCATAGGGAGCAACGTGCTGGCTGCCCAGCTGTCCCAGCTGAGGTCCTGACAGCACCCACACAAAGTCAGCAGAGCCCAGATTCTGCCACCACAGAGGCAAGGAGGAGGCCGTCCTGGATCAGCTGGCCCCCAACCAACCTGCAGGCTCAAGATGAAATGAATCCTAATTTATTTATTTATTTAGAAAGAGGATCTCACTATGTTGCCCAGGCTGGTCTTGAACTCCTGGGCTCCAGAAATCCTCCTGCCTTGGCCTCCGAAAGTGCTGAAATTACAGGTATGAGTCACTGCGCCGAGCCCAATCCTCATCCTTCTAAACTACTAAGTTTGCGGACGGGACAGACACCATGGCTCACGCCTTAATTCCAGCACTTTGGGAGGCCCAGGTGGGTGGATCACCTGAAGTCAGGAGTTTGAGACCAGCCTAGCCAATACAGCGAAACCCCATCTGAACTAAAAATATAAAAATTAGCCGGGCACGGTGGCACACCTGTAGTCCCAGCTAATCAGGAGGCTAAGGCAGAAGAATCGCTTGGACCTCAGAGGTGGAGGTTACAGTGAGCCTAGATTATACCACTGCACGCTAGCCTGGGCAACAGAGTGAGACTCCATCTCCAAAAACAATGAAATTAAATTAAATTGAAAAATTTGGCTGGGTGCCGTGGCTCCTACCTATAATTCCAGCACTTTGGAAAGCTGAGGCAGGTGGATCACTTGAGGTCAGGAGTTCGAGACCAGCCTGACTAACATGGTGAAACCCCATCTCTACTAAATACAAAACATTAGCCAGGCATGGTGGTGCATCCCAGCTACTTGGGAGGTTGAGGCGGAAGAATCGCTTGAACCTGCAAGGCAGAAGTTGCAGTGAGCTGAGATCGCGCCACTGCACTCCAGCCTGGTCAATGAGAGCGAAACTCTGTCTTAAAAAAAAAAAAAATGGGGGCCGGGCGCGGTGGCTCAAGCCTGTAATCCCAGCACTTTGGGGGGCCGAGGCGGGTGA